AGGCGGCCCCCGCTGCCGGGAGCCCGTACGCTCAGCCGGCCGCTGGTGCAAAGGTGCAGCGCGTGCCAAGCAAGAGGCGGCAAGCTACGAGGAGCAGCTCTAAGGGAGACAGAGAGAAACAAACCCCCCAAAATCCAGCTCTGTTTGGAGAAACCAAAAAGCCGGGGTCTCGTCCTGCATCCCGTGCAGCCCTCCCTACACAGACCAGTCTGACCTCCAGAGGAACCACCGGCGAACCGAAACAGCAAAACTCAACCTAGCCCTCAACGGAGAGACGCTGGAGAGCCCTCGGACCGCGGCTACAGCACTCTGCGTCGCAACGCTCGCGTGACGGGTCTTCCCGTCCTCTGACCTTCCCATAACAGCAGCGTTTAACGATTTCCCCCACCCTATCCCACTTGGCTAGAGCCGTTCTTGCAGAGAAAAACATTGCCAGGCAAACCACTTGCACCCTAACACATCTTGCTTTCCTGTTAAGTGACGGTAAAACGTTCTTTAGAGGAAAAGGTTAACGATGGCTTTACTTCTGAGCTGAGTAATGGATGGGGTGGTGATGATAGGGTGGTGGTGGTTGGGGGGGGTGTCTAGCTTTTCTCCTCCCCTTCTTAAAAAAAGAGGAAAAAAAAGAAAAAAGAAAAAAAAAAAAGAAAAAAGCTACAATCTTATAGACTAACCTCAGGAATATCAAAAAAGGAGCCCAATATTTTTTTTTAAGTAGGTCGCCACAGACCTAGTCGTTTACAGTATAACGAATGCGATTATTTCCTTCATAAATTTTAAATACAAGCAGAATAAAAATCACATTTTTTTCAGGCAACAGTAGCAGTTCAGTAGGTAAGTGGCTTGATCACATTTTTGTTTTGTATTAGTAATGCATGCAAGCAGCTTTAGTATTACAGATCCCTTATAGGTCACAAAATGTTTGCTCTCTTTATAAAGTCCCTCCGTAAGTACCATCTTGTCTTCTCACCGGAGTTTCTGGCCGGCTAGTGGAGCCCGAACCTTGTTCAAAAGGTTGTGGAGTGCTTTGGGTATCTGATGCCATCGCATCCGTGGCAGCTGCCTCTTGTATAACAGAGCCAGCCCCTTCGGCATCCTCGCTCTGTTCAAAGGACTGGTTGGAGCCATTGCTTAGATCTACGTTCACTGTATTAGTTCTCAGAGCTACTATAGTTCCTGACTCGCTCCTCCGTTCTGCATAGATGCGCTGCTCAAAGACCTGAGCAGTGTTGGGCTGGAACTCGGGATCCAGGGGGACACTGTTTGTGGTGGAGCCCATGACTGTGCGGTACATCTCCATCCCTTCCGGCAGCATGGACTTAATCTTCGGAAGCCAGCGCTTGCGGACTCGGCGGGCGTTGGTGCACATATCGGCTGCTATGACATTCATCTCGCTTTCCTTAAAGCTTGGGGCAAAATTCTGACAATACACTGCAAAGACAGGGATAATTACAACTGAGGATTCGGAGAAAGCAATACAAAGACGGCCGAGTGATTGCAGCCTTTGTCCCATCCTAGAAACATGCCACCACACTTATCATATGCAGGTGCTATCAAGCCGAGGTTCACAAGGGTGGCAGAGCTCTCTCAAGGACAGACTTACAGAAAAGGACTCCTCAGCTTGGAAGACAGACAACCGGGAAGGGATACAACGTGAAGTCATAAAAGTCTCAGGGAAGGGGGCTGGAGAACGACCACTCACTTTGCGGGGAACCACTGAACCCAAGAGGTCACGTCTTCCCAGCCAGGGGACACAAATGCCAGCCAAACTGTGGCCCTGTTGTGAGGACCCCGAGTATAAACGGACAGAGAAGAGGTCAACACAAACTCCTCAGAAGTAGATCCCCTAATGGCTCTTAAAAACAGTGTGGTGCAGGCAGAACGCCGACAAGAGGAAATCTTAGAACGGCTCTCTGCCAGGAGGTGCACCCGCAGGACGATCCCCTGCACGTCCCAGACTATCGCCTGCACGTCCCACTTCTTGTGTTGGCCACTCCAGGACTAAACAACACGCCACGGACCTCTGGCCTGGCCCAGAACGAAGCCTTTCCATCCTCTGAAACTATTCTCAAGCCTTAGCTAGGACAATGTTTCAGACATAGTTTCAGACTAAGCCCAGTCTGAAACTCCAGCTACACCAGGCAGTGCCCGCGGTGGAGACGTCAACTCCAGCACTGGTGCAGCGGTGCTGGGCTGCATCCAAGCCGGGAGCCAGAGCGAAACAGGCAACTGAATTCAACTCCTGCTGTGTATCTGAGGCCTCTTTGTTATAGCAATGAATCCGGTAATATACATTAGTGATTCCCAGATTTTCCTTGGCACAGGAGACCATCGAACTGCCCCAAAGCCTGTACTGTGATGCCAGCGCATATGTGGCAACTGGAGAATATTACACTGGGAAAATGAAGTCATGCCCTACAAAAGCAGCGGAAGATGCGGCGCGTCCTCACGACTCAGCATGCCCCGGGGGCAAGCTGCTAACAGGGAGGGCTTTCTCTGGAGACCACCATACGCAAACTATGGGCAAGCACCATTAGCACGTTCTAGCGAGCTTGGCTTTGTATACTGAACGTGTGCCATTTTATCCCTTTTCTCCATGTGCTACAGATCTCAGTCTGGCTGGAAGGCCCCAGGAGTTCAGCAGCACAGCAGCAATTAGGGAGAAGAAAGATTTATCTTCCAAATCTTAAAAAAAAAAAAAAGAAAAAAAAAGGAAAAAAAAAAAAGAAAAAAGCTTAAAGTTTCATTTTCCAGTGCAACATTTACATAAAGATTTACTATCCAGGATCCAGAGAGGGTGAGAGAACATATTGCTTTCCACCACATATCAAGTATGTATTAAATAGGCTTTGCTGTACTGAACTATCAGTGTTTCCTAACCACCGAGCTCCTCATGGCCACCAGCAAGCACCTTTCGCCCTATAATACACTCCTTGTATTCAAAAGAGTGACTGCAATAGCCAAATATTTAACCATTTGTTCTCTTGTGCCTGGCTCAGAGAATAGTTATCTTCATGGAAGTAAAAAACTTTTTATTTTGTACACTCTTGCTGTTGTTCTGCCAAACTTTCAAAATGAGGGGTCATCCATCAGCTAGTCCTACACACCCCAGACCTTGCTAAACTTAAGAGCGCCATTTAATCACCAAAACACAAGGGATCTTACCTGTAGGACAGCAGTTTTAAAACAGCTGAATCTGTTACACAGATCAGATGCTCTGCAGACTAGATGAACTGCTTGGTATGAAGCAGAACTTTGTTCAGAGCTCAGAGGTTAAAAACAAAAACTACTCCTCCCATACAGAATCCTTCTTTAAAAAGATTATGCACAATTATTTGCAGCAAGGCTTCTATTTTACTTATTTAAAAAAAGAAAGGAAGTTTATAAAACATATTCAATGAAATAGTCTCTAAAACTAACAGAAATGTTGACAGTGAGATCACAAAAGCAGATTATTCCACGTTACGAAGTTTGAAGCAGCCAGCAGAACTCTTGATTCCCGGAGGCCCATTTACTACCTAAGAGCAACAACAACGAAAGCCCAGAGCGCCGCAAGCACCGCGGCGTGCCGGCACGGCTGCAGCCAGGACGCAGCTGCGCCAGAAGGAGCAGCGAGAGATGCCGAAAGGACACGGTTGGGAGATGGATTTGAGCTGTACGCTCTGATCTTGTAAATCAGTGGATTTGGCAGATCCCTGCACTCGCATGAAGCCGAACGTGCGACTGAGCCCTAGGCCACGCAAGCCAGCGCATACCGAGATGGTCTGCTTCATCAGCAGCAAGCTCAGAGAGCTGCCAAATGCCTCACTTCGACTCCCTTCTTCCAACAGCTATCAATAATTAACTGCAAAATTAACATTTTAAAATATGGCAAAATAGATGAGTACCAGTAATGTTTTACATCAAGATACTGCCAAACAACAACAAAAAATTAACTTCAGACAGAAAAAAACTGATGATGCAAAAAACAACAAAAAAATTTCCTATAGCCTGATTTCACCATGCCTAGTTCCCACTATTAGGCAACAGAGCTGGCCTTCCCCGTTCACGTTTCAGCTGTGCTCTCGGCATGCTGCTCAGCGCAGCAGCAATAAAGCTCTGCTTACGTTTCACGGCGTTGAGGACCCTGCTGTCCAGGGGCTTCCTGCTGGGGTCGCTCGTGGACGACCGGATCCCAGTCCCACAGCTGTTGGCGAGTGTGTTCCTGCAAGAACGGCACAGAAAGAGCCTTACGCCAGGGACAGCAGCCGGCCCAAGCGCTGCAAGGAGACACTGTCCTCTTCTCTTTATTTTCTTATGGAGGAATCACCAAGCTACGTGATTTTAAGACAAGGAATCAGAAAACCTGGTGTTCAGGTTGAACCATCACTGAGAAAAAGCATAGATACAAGTAAAGTATATGTGGAGGATGAAATGTTCACATACACATTACATATTAATAGACTTAAAGTACCAGAAAATAAACAGACCCCCTGGAGACAGCGTAAGCGGCAAGAGGACATACCGATCAAAGAAAGTGGCCAGAAGACGTCTCAGAAGAACCTTATGCTTGACGCCAGCACACAAGTGGCAATTCATCAGCTGCCCCCGAGTGATGTAAACGCCCGAGCCTGCAACGGGTGAAGAGGCAGAATCCAGAATTACACCCTGCACTGCTGACAGCGGCCCTCTGAGCCAGGAGCAAACTATTTCTGCTTGGCTGTTTCACCACAACTACAAAGCTGCACAGTAGAAAGCATGTTCTTCAGGTGCTGTCAAAAAAGCCGCAGAAGGCCAGCAGATTTTTTTGGAGAAGCCTCGTGAGGACTGCTATTGCAACCCTTCAGGGTTTTGGGAAGTCCCTGGCAGTAATAAACCCCTCATTTTACCCACAAAGCAAGGATGTCTAGGGAAATCCGATGAAAGGACTCAGTTTTTATAAAGGCATGCAGCATAAGGCTCTATTCTATGATTTTATATATACCTATCAGATTATTCATTCTTTCTGAAAAGAAAGTCCCAATCCACAGGTCCTTTTCTTTTCTTAGTGAAAGATTGCAGAACATACAACCAAAAGAAAAAAAAAAACTGTCTAGCCCAGAAAAGGTACATATTTATGCTACAGATCAAACTGCTTCCAAAAATCCTGGTCCATAACCTCTTGATACTTCTGGTGAGCTGGGAATTTTGTTTCTATTGCATAGGAACTGCTGACTTTGAAATATATTGACTTTAAGGATGTTCTCAGGAAGAAAAAGCAATCCTGCCAAAGCAGCTTGATATGTCCAGAGGTTTGGAAGCAGATCCTCAGTGCTTTACAGCAGGTTTCTTATCCGTTCCTTATCAAATACTTCTGCTTTGCGCACAGCTTATAAAAACAAACCACTCTATGCCTCCGAACCTGCTTGCACAGGAAGGTTATTCCATTTTTTAAGCATACTGTCGTATAAGAGTTGTGAGGGGTTTGGTATTTGCTTTTAATTAAAAATAAATACCGGGTCATATCTGGATGCAGAAGACACTATCTTGAAGAAAAAAAAAAATCTACTGGAGAAATAAAATTGCCTCCTGAATTTCCAGGAAAGCTTACAGATTGTTCTTCTTAATCTTGAAGATAAAGAGAGAGCTGAGGAACATTAGAAAGCCGGTGGACTCGCGCCTGCGGAGACGCAGGGTGGCTCCCTGCAGCTTGGCACCTGCTCCCGCTCAGAAGAGTCCTCCCTTGCTCCCTGCTCGTCCCCGCCGCAGGGGACAACCTCGACAGCCTGGTCTGCTTGAGGACGTTAACAGGTCCATCTTTCACCAGGTGGTCATTAACTCAGTCTTGCAGGAGAGCGGAGGGTGCCGAGCACGGAGAAAGCAAGCGTAGCTTTGGATTGCAGAACATCCTCGCTTATCACCACGCTCTGCTCATAATATCTATCCATCAGTTTTACTATGATCGTTTCAAGGCTTGTTTAAGACCTTCTTAGAGAAAGCTGCTGAAGTTTGCAGAATCAATTAATGGCATGAAAAATTCCGAGACAAAAGGAAATCCTCAGATTACCCAGTTTATGGAACTTTAGGAGAAGACTCCTTCCGTGACAGATGCTGCGTTCAGCCACCTCCATCAGGTTTCACCACATCTGAAACTGCAATTAGCCACTGAGTCTTTATTCAGTAGCAGTATTGTAAGAGATAAGCCATCAGAGAGAAAGCCAGACTCTACCAAGGGTAACTTCACTTTAATAAATAAAAAATAACCAGGGCAGCCACTATCAGTTAGAGATATTAATCTACTTTTTTTCCAGATTGAAAAATGTAAATCAAGCAGAGATGCCTCAAGCCAATTTGCAGCTCTTACTGTGAAAATAACCCACACCACTTGGTGTTTTTAAGAAGCCTCACATAAAATGTAAATGGGTACAAAATGAATATTCCAGATAAAATAAATACTCGTGGTTTTATGCTGTGTTACAGTGTGCGCATTTTATTTCTGCCTTCCACTGAAGAAAGCTTTCCCTGATCAGACGGAAACCTTTCTGGGTATTTCTTGAGATTAAGATTCCTTCTAGAGACTGAAAATAAAACCAGGCTCCTCACCAAGAGATAAATGACCAGCAAGAAAGGACAACTGATTTGGATTGATTGCACTGCCACATGTGCTTTTTGCTCCAGGTGCTTTACAGGTATTAATTAGAGCTCAACAGTCTGGGCAGCAGGTAAGGGATATCGGGCTGCTCACAACACGACGGGGTATAAACCGAGAGGACTATGGCAGCAAAATGAAACTCGGGGGAATTTATAGATGCAGAATATGATTATTCAAACTGGAATTTGATCTGGACCCCACAGCTGAACATTTGCCGGCTGCGCGATGCTCTGGGGTACGCAGGGGCTGCAGCGGGGCCAACTGCGGTTTTAAGGCCAGTGCATTTCATTCTTTATCCAGCTCTACAACACCAGGATCGTTAAAGGCTAAACAGCACCACCTTCTACCTCAGGCTGGCCATAAATCCTTTAGAGATGAGTAAGGGAATTTTCAAGTTACTGTAAATTCCTCTAAAACTGAAAATAAAGATAGATGAAAGGACCAATCAAAACTGATTCCTTCTTTTCCTTCCTACAGAAATGTTTGACAGTTTAATAACACCTCCAATGTTTAGAAAACTTTTGAGGCTTTTTTAAAGCTTCTTCACTGACACAAATTTTAGATCCACTACTCTGTAAATCTTATAGTGTGAGGACTTTTTTTTTTTAAATCTAGGCTTCTAAATCAAAACACAATTGTGATGCAGCCCACACCAATCAGGAAGAATACAAGCTGAGGAATTCAATTAAAATGCTAAATTAATTCAATTGAATAAATCCTGCTAATGACACGTTTTTCTATCAGCAAATTAAAGGAAAATTTAAGATTTTTTTTTTTTAAGATAATTAGCGATGAATAATCCAAAAAGACATAGCAAGGACATACAATATCTATGACTCCAACAATGGTGCAAGCAAGATGAAGAACACATTTCAAGAAGGAAAACATCAGCAATCTCCAGTCATCCTCAAGCAGAGGAAATTTACCCCCTTATTACCTGCGACGAGCTCAAGTTTTTCTCCAGGATCTCCCTCCGAGTAGAGTTTTGGGTGACAACGATATCCGATTTGACTGATGAGACTGGCTGGGAGAGCAACTAGATCCCTTCGTATGAGGACGCAGGAACGATTCTCTAGTGGAATCTGTTCTGGCTTTTCTTGAGCAACTTAAAAGTTAAAAAGGAAAACCATTAAAAGAGTTTATTACTGGAAACACAACATTAACAGAAGATCAGATTTCAACTTTTCCACGTTGCTCTGGGAAACACTCAGCCCTGCAGAAGCACCATCACTGGGCAGGCGAGGACATGCCCGCGCTGGGCCAGGGCAATTGGTGGGTTTGAAGGTTTCTACACACAGGGCCTTTCTTCTCACGGATCTCCTTCATGGTCTACAGCAGCAGCCTTGCCTTTGTGCCTGCATTCCGGAAGAGGGGCTCTTGGAACCTAATTACGCTTTAACTTTTTCCGAGTTAATCATTTGTGAAAACAGGCATCTCTGAACATCTGACATCATTCTCGAAATGAGGCATCCAGAGCTAGCCTCCTCCAGACACCTGAAGAGGAGCGTCATGCTAACTCAACAGGGGTTTCTAAACCAAGCAATAAATTAACCAGGTTTGACAGATATCTGCTTCAGTACCATAACTACTTTTGCTGTTTTTTTCTGCTGAGGTTAAAAGTCAGACTTTGCAGATACACACTACACCAAGAAAGGTCAAGGTAGGCAACTCGCTACCGTCACATCCACCAGTCATCTCCTGCAAGCTGCAGCACGTCTCCTGGAACGCCTTCCCTTACTCTAGCTTTTGGAGGCTAGCATTTTATCTCAATAACAAGAAAAATCCCAACCAACCGACCAAAAAATTTCATTAAGCTGTGGCTTTAAAAACAAATTACACTGCACTACTAGGACACAGCTGTGATTTCACTTAAAACGTTCCCTTACATACTATTAATGGAGCCTGCCACTGCCTATTAGCAAACGTTAACGTTGAAAAGCTAAAACAACTGAGTTTTACTACTAACACTGCACAATTCTGGGTTATGTGAGCATACGGAGGATTAGCTTTCTAAAGCACATTTACAGTGGAAGTCCACAGGCATGCCTAAAATTACAAATCACAGCAAAATAGGACCGACACAGGTGTATATCGACTCCAGTTGCACTAGTACGTATTGTGAACTTTTACAGACTTTGAACTGCATCCCAACTGTATAATGATCTTTTTCCCAAGAAGGTTTGATAACGCGGCAAGTGCTACTTGTAAAATCAAATCCAGCTCTATGCATGAATACAGATCTAAGAAAGGAAATATAGATCTAAGAAAGGAAAAAACAGCAAGCAGAGTTTCTGAACTCAAAATGTTTCCTACTTAACAGGTGTCTTCTCCTGTAGCTATTCTGATATTCTGGAGGTCATTTTTCAATTCTCTAGATAAAATAACAAGTTTTGCAAACTTGTTGCTGCAGTAACCAAGCGGAAATGCCTCTGTTACAAAGGGATTAGTGTTCTAACTAGGCCATGCCCTGCAACATTGCATTGTTCTGCGACTTCGTATGGCAAGGCACGAGGCTGGAAACATCCTCACCCTCATCACTCCCCTCCTTCCCTAGAAAGTTAGGGCTGCTCTAAATACTGATATTTTGCAAAATGACAGCTAGGCACAGAGCTTTTTGGAGCAGACGCTTCAGAAGAACCATCACAGCATCAGGATGCCTCTTGCCTAGCCAGACCGCACGGTGCCCGGACGGCTTGGCGCGTTCTTGAGCAGTTAAGGACCAACGGAGCCAGAACAGTTCGCATGATGTTTTAAAACTAATTTCTCTTGCCGTCACAGCCCAATTATCTATGCAAAGTGGAAGCGCTTGGTAGTGCTGATGGAGTCCCATTTACAGAATGGGACATGCAGAATTCTTCACCAACTGAAATATTTCCCCATTTAATAGCTCTTACAGGAAGCGCTTTGGAGCACTTGGATGCGTTGCATTCGGGGGGATGGGAATCTCGTGCTCGCACAGGGGAAGCACCTAAAAGACTCGTGGTATTTCTGGTGCTCTCAAACAGTGAGAAGCAAGTATGAGTATGTCAAACTAAACGCTAACGTTTTCCAGAGTAAACAAACGCAGAGGGGGCACTAGAAATGGTACGAATACTGGGACGAAGAAGAGCAACAAAGGGCCTACTCTGCTGTCCCTCACAGACCTTTCAGTTTTGGCAAAAGATGTTCACAAAAGCAGGCTATAATGGTACAAAGGCCATTGTGAAATAAATGCAAATCTCGGGTGGGAAGAGGAAAGAGTAGCTACTGGAGGACACCAAATTAAGTGCCCAGTTAGAGTCCTCTGCCGCTTTCTCTATTACATACAGACTGAACTAAAAGTTAAAATGACATAGGCCGTGCATGACCTCTTGCTCTGCCTATCAGCCACAGAGGCCAGACCAGGATGTCCAAGGTCTTTAGTGGAGGCTATGAAAGAACGGTAAACCATGCTATTAGGGGTACACAGATGCCAACATTGGGCAACGGCGTTCTGTGCTAAATGCATGTTTCTGAACTGCGAGGTCACAGACAGAGAGCAAGAGCAGGCCATATTATTTCATACGGCCTGGGTTAATTGCCGGCGAGCTTGGCAGGGAAAGCAGTCCATTTATCACCACTTAAAAAACTGGCAGATCTTAAGCTATTAAAAGAGGAGGGCTAGAAGCTGAGCACACTGGTACTGATACTCAAAGAGTTATTTTAAAGGTCTCCAGTTATTCTTTTTTTAAAGGCATAAAGGCTGTACGTCTCCAGGGAAAGCACTCTTGAACAGTTGCAAGCCGCACACCAAATGATACATTTCACAGTAAAAGTGACAGGCGGTGGGTCCTCTCTACTTGTTATCTAATATTTATGTATTCTGAACCAAAAAGAATTTAGACTTGAGACTGAAATGGAGATTAGTCACTGTTCTGATCACACAGACGTGTCTTCAGATGGTTTTGCTGGACAAAAAGCAGCACTCGGAGGAGGCAAAGCTAACGTGGACCCCACACAGTATTAGTAATAGTTTAATTATCCTTCGCACTTGCACCGAGGTTTCGGGCTGCAGGTTTCAGGGCACCTTGCAAACCCAGCGAAGCACCATGGAGCTCTGGGGCTCAAGAGTTTGAGGGGCCTTTTCTAGCCCAAAGTTGCACATTTGGAAATACTCCAAGTTCAGCTGTCCCTGCCTCGACCCTCACCACATCCATGTCTTATCCACTCCTTTATCAAAATGACTGAAACTGAAGAAATTAAGCACCTGCAACATCCAGCCAACAAATGGCTACAGGCAGACAGGGACAAATCTACCCACTTTACCGCTTGTCATATACAAACACTCAATGAAACCCAAATTTGGGGCCAAACAGATCCCGATCTAGCAATAATGACGCCTGCAAGAAAAAGAACAGAACAACTACTGTATTAAAGCTAACTTCCTAGGGAAATTTCAAAGAATTTGGTGTCAAGCCTGTTTCCTGAAAGAAAAGCAGCTTTTCGGGAAAACAATATTGATGTACTGAACTCCGCATTGAGAAGAGCCAGGGACAACTCCGTCCTGAAAAAATTCTTTGCTTTTGAAGACGTTTCCTTTCACACATGTGGGGCCACAGAGAAGTTAACATTTCATCTTCTGAAGTCAAATACTTCACGAGATCAAAGACAACTTGGACTAAAAAAGACCAAGCACAACGGAATCCGTTACTATATTTTGGCTACGTCTGTCCTACTGGCCTGCTGTCTATAAATCGCTCATTAAACATGGGCACGGATCATTTTGGGAATTTGTTTTGATTAAAGCATTAGTACAAACTCAGTGGTACCGAACAAGAATTACCAGAGATTCAGGCCTTTCTAGGCTACGTCAGCTCAGCAGAGACTAATCGCTGCACACAGACCGGTTACATAAAGAAGCAGGATACAAGAGACACTTTGCTCCCATGTTTTCAAAGAAAGCAAGTCTGTTTGGCCTTTATGCTCTAAAGAAGAGGATAGTATTCGCTTCTAATTAATTTGTATCTTGGGAGGGCAGCAGCTCCTTTCCTTTGAATGCAAGGGCAAACAATGTGAAGCATTGTTTAACGCAGTTTTGTTCCCGACTAAGAAAGGAGCCTACCAGCTACCGGAGAGGCGGGCAGGAGAGCATTACAAAGCAAGCAAACATAGCTACAAGTCAAGCACTAATATACGTTGTTTATTCAAGCATATACTTTGATCTGAAACCCACGCGGATGCTGCAGCTCGCAACAACCGATTCGGAATGGGGAACACGGCAGGTTTTTGGCCAACGAGGCAGTCGCAACGCGGCTCAGGAGGCGGCTCCTGAACGAGCAGCTCCCACTCGCCTGCGTCCTCCTCTTGACTATTTACTCAACATAAACCTCCCGCGCGCGCCAGGAGGTAGGGACCGAGTATTTTTGCTTTCGCGACGGGGGGTCTGAAACGCAGGAAGGCCAGAGGGACTGACCCTGCCCGCAAAGTAAGCGGCCGCAGGGCCGCAACACGAACCCGCT